ACACATCACCCCCCCCCCCGCCCCTCAACCGCCCCTTCCACCAGCCAATCATTTAAATTTCATGTCACCGATAAAAAGTACGACTAGACCATTCACTGCTTATGTGATAAGATTTAGTTACCGACAGGAGCACGAGGATATGCCGAGTTTGATAATTTAAAAAATATTTTAAATTTTAACAATATGAGTTGACGTTAAGTGTCCGTAAGCATACGTAAATTCTAATTAATCGTATGCTAAGTGCGTACGCGATTATAGCGTCTATAATGCATTTACCAAGTATTGCCGGCTTCGCATCGTTGAGCAAAGGCTCCAATCGCTCCTTGGCTTGAGAAAATATACTCGCTGCGCTGAATCTCCACCTAAAATCGTCATCGACATGTCAAAATCATGATCCAAGCAATAACATAATGCATCATAATATCTCGAGACTGTCGTCGAGCTGAATTTAATTGCACATTTTCATCAAATGGGAGGATTCGATGTTGATGTCCGTACCACTTGTTGATGAGGAGGCTGAGCCACTCGGCTGTCTCGTCCTTGTAAAGGGCCCGACGCCTGCGCAGCCTCGCCAGCTCCTGCTGTAGGGCAGTCTGCAGCAGCCGTGAGATCCTGGCCTTGGTGATGGTGCCGGCGAACGCCAACACGAGCATCAGCCAGGCGAGGGAGAGACCCGCGACCCCGACGATCCATGCGATCGTCACGCTCACCCCGAGGTACAGGGCGCTTCGCAGTGCCTCCGTATCGCGCTGTAACAACGTTGCCAACCCTTTGTTACATCATCCTCGCGTGCGTCGATAAGTTACGGGGAAATTGTACGGCCGACCGAAGGAGCTTGCGTTGACAGTTCCCTGGGAGGGATGACGTGATAAGTCGTCGAATGGACAATGTAATGAAGCACGCGTGGGGTCGATGGTCCTGTACTTTTACAGCCCGATATTGCCTTTAGGAGTGTCAATGTTAGTTAAATTTTCGATTGAAAGTAAGGACACTCGCATATTATTGGAGATTGATTATTGAAATGTTTGGGAAGAATATTAAGATTCAGTTCGATCGAGGAAGGCCAAGACGACGAGCATTCAGACAAAGTGTCCAACATTATCGAGCGCAATGTTCGGCTATTTAATTTTATCGCACAACTTGCCCTTAATGGCATATCGTCTTTATCGCTTGGCAATACCAAAAGTACGTAGATCGAATTCAATTCTTAATTGGAAAAGTAAAAAAAAAGAAAAAACCTAATTTTATAACGAATTTATAATGGCGTGGTCGATAACTGTTGTTTGTTATATTAAAGTATAAATGTAATTGAAGGCCGAGTAGTTATTGCAGAAGAATAATCATTGTAGCCTCCAATTGATAATTAATAAAATAATTTCACAAATTTTTATATCGAATCTACCAAATGACAGTACTATGATTTAAGAATTTTTCATATAGACAAACAGAGAATTTGAAAACAAAATCTTTTAAACTAGCTTCTTTCAATCTTTTGCTTAGATACTTTAGAAAATACTTTTGCTACTTATTGCGTGAAAATTTAAATAAATTTCTTGGTTTTTTTTTTTTTTTTTTTTTTTTTTTTTTTTTAATCGAATTAATACGAACGTATTTTTCGAATTTATACTTAGCTGCTTTTGGAATGAATTATTTTATTTGGATTTATCATTTACAGTAGCGGCATTGACATTTTTGCGAATATTCCGATTATCAAGAAATTAAGTCTCCATAGAGGTCACGAATGTGGCTAAACTTATTAAAATGTCCAGCTTCGAATAAGACTAAAGGAGAACAAAATTTCAAATGTCTCATTTGAAATTTTAATTTATACAACCACCTAATGTTGAATAATAATTATTACTAAATAATGTTGTAGATGATGATACGTCAATACGAAAATAATAAAACAAGCGATCTTTTTATTTATTTAATCACACAAATAATTGTGCATTACATTTCTTTTATTTAATGCACCACCATATGCTAATAAGAAATGGTAAACACAAACTATTGTCTACGATACACAACATACATGCATATGCTCATATATATAACTTTTTATTATCATTTAAATTTAATATTTAACACAATTTTTGACATAATTATGGATAATTATGAAATTTATGAATTATGAGTGTCAGATAATAGTTATTATGTAATTAAGTTAATGTTAGTAAACGCAATAAATATAAGTCAAAAATATTCCTTCGTTAAATGGATTTTAGTACGCATATTAAAATAAATCAAGTATTGAAGTTATTTTTAATTAAATTATCATTAAATAATATGAAATATCGACAGTATTATTACAATAATGTTTTATTAATAGCAATAGCGTGTTACATCGTAAAAATTTTAATCAACGGATTATATTAATCGATACTTCAATTATGCTTCTATACGCATATACTTTATGAATTTACTTTCAGTAAGTGTGATTGCAATTCGGTATTATTATACGAGTTGGAAAAGAATTGGGATATCCCAAGAATGGTAAACCGTTTACAAAAATCCATACGCGCTTGCTTATTAACCACAAAATTACAACGATTGCCATTTAATAAGAAAAGTCACAGGGTGTACGTATTTGTTTAACTTATTGTATCACATTTCCATGAAATCATCAATTCCCCACTTTTACGTACTTACGTTATGTTCGTTCCTTAAAGCGTTCGCACGTAAATGTGAAACGAACATTTCACGCAAGGGTCGCCCTTCCATAATAACAGCGCTGCTCTCCTAGTCTCTGGCATTTCGCCGATAATGTAAATCAAGTGATAAAAGGTGTATTCCGTGCGAATCGGCAGCAAATCAGAAGAGCTGATTAGTTTAGATACGCCGGTCGACCCCGGCGCTTCATTGTCGGTGATTTCGTCATTCGTTCATTATTAGCTCAAGGCAAAGACTTATGAATCGAGTAGAAGAAGCCACGACACAACCGATGCAACCGCGCTCATTTGAAATACAAAATTTGCTTACCAAGACGATAAATCCGCGGGGGAGTGGTATCGGGACGCGCTCTTGGTCGATTTTGAAGAATTTGTAAAACAAAAAAACAAAAAAAAAAACAAAAAAAAACCCCATTACGACATAATCGAACGCGTACTCTATAAGATTCTCCCCCCCCCCCCGGCCACGGCCCCGGGATCATCGAATTTCCCTTTGGTTCAGGAACCAAAAATTCTCTCCCCGAGCGACGTAGCTTTAGTAATAGCTCCGGTAGCGAAGGTTGCGCGGATCACGCGAGGTTGCGTGCACCCGGATCTCGCGGTCGGTCATATCGCGTGCCCACCATCCCGAGGGGTCGAAGCTTCCGATCGTTACCCGGCTCTCGGTGACGCCTCCGATTGAGCTACTTACACGGAAGTGCGTCAACGTGTCTCCATTAATACGATAACGAGGCCTGGGCTCGCCAGTATCCTTGAACTCCGAGACTCTGAATCTCCGACTGGAAGACGTACGTCAGTTGCCCCGCGATTTCTCGCGCTTTCACTCTTCGGTCAATTAAGTTGCGAAAATCGTAAACCTTTTCCCTTCCCCCCCCCCCCCCCCCCCCCATTTTTAAGCTTTTATCTCAAAGATACATACGCTACTTTTGCAACCGCTTATTCACATTTGTTTATTATTTGACGCTCGATTGGCAAGGCACATTGACGCATTGAATTGTTGAATTACGACGATTTTCCAGCGCACGAACTCTGCCTTGCAACTTTAATATCTATTCTTCGTTAAATTTATTTATTGTTAGATTAGATCGCTATTTTTGTTATATATATATTATATATATATATATATATATATATATATATATATATATTGACCCATTTGAGAAGAGCGCATATGGCGCTCGATGTATACAATGATAACTTACGGCCTTCGGATATATATTGGTCGAGTAAGCTTTTCATAATCCAATTAAATTGTTATAATTGAAAATTAGATATATCTATTTCAAATTTACGAAAGAATAGTGACCTGAATTTTGTATATATAAGCATGATTCGACATTTCTCATTTCAAGGTTAAAATTTTATTGTTTTTCTGATTATCCTTGTGTTACATGTGCAATAGCATCTTGTTGAATCTTGTAATAAATAAAAACGTATGTATAGTTTGTATAGTATGGTGAGACAAGTCGATAATAATTAAAATTAATGGCCGCGAGAATGATGTTCAAAAATTTTATACTACAAATTCTAGGCATTCGTTAAATTACATTATAAACAACATTAAACGAGGCCGATAATTTCAGACGATATGTCCTTTAGTCGTGATTGAGCATAGAAAACCAAACAATCGCATAAGTTCAAACTTTTAAAAAATATTTTTATTTCATCGCTTAGGTCAAAATGACAGGCCGAGTGAATTATTGGAAATGGCAACTCCAACATTGAATAGTAACTTCTCGGGAGGGAAAATTTCGTTTATATTTAATCATTCTAATGCTTCACAATTGTCATACAATAACAAGTAAAAATATATTTGTATTTTCATTAGGCTCACAGTAAGTAAATAAACAGATATTTCGAATGCTCGTGTTTTCAGTAATTGTAAACCGAAGCTAATCGTTTGTAAACAAAGGCTACAAAATATTGACAAATTGTCAATCGTATTGATATTTGACAAAGCTGGCATATAGAACCTTCAAATTCGTTATTAGATTTTTCAAATAAAAGTATTATGAACTATACTATACGTATCTCTACGACATTCGTATATCTACAATAAGAAATTATTCTATTTATTTAATCTCATGTGGCTATGTAAAGCCAAACATTAGTTATAATTACATCACAATTATTAATAATTAATGTAAAAGCAGGGCATTGGACTGCCTATTTTATATTATCGTTGTTTAATTCTATTTTTAAAATTATATTTGCAGTCGCTATAAAAAGTAATGTGGTCGTTCGACTATGACGTCATCTAAATTCGAACTCGATTACAAGACGAACAATACGATATAATCGTATCGACGAATTCGATGATGCAAATAGAAATTACAATGACCAGATTCATCAATAATTTTAATGAAAATGGAGAAAATAACAACTATAAAATAATTTATAAGTCGATTATGGTATTTGCCCTATTGATGAAAATTAATGGGGATTAGTGATTATTACCGATCTTTAGTAATTGACGGTTGAGATTTCAAATATTAAGTATTAATGGAGTGTATAATTTTATCAATAGCAACTTACTTCTTTCTAAGCTACTTTTTCTATAGAACATGACTATTTCGTTGAAAACTCAGAACTTTTTCAATTTTGTACTTTGTTTGTTTATTTGTCATCAAACGAATCTTTAAAAAGATATTTTTCTTATTTTTTTGTACGAATGATTGAAAATTCTAATACGTTTTATCGTTTATTAAATTCCATTCTAATATTTTCGTCAATTTATTGATTCAATCATTGATAACTAAATATAGTTAAAAAGTAAATTGGGATCATAAATGAAGTATGTACATGGAATAAAACGAATATAATGGTATTAAATAATGTTAATACAAGCTACTACAGGAAGCTTTTCATAAGATGAAAGTAAAATAAGATAAAGCAAAAATGTATATAGTAGGAAGGGAGTTGAAATGGCCGAGTTGAATGGAAAGCAGATGTAATTCGCATGGAATATAGAAATTATGAAGATTAATGAAATAAATAGGCTGAAAAATGTTAAACGTAGTGGGTGGTGCGTAGGTGTAGAGATACTGTAGTTTGAAGCGAACGAATTCAAGAAAGATACAGCTCGTATTGAACAGCGCTTATTGTATATATATATATATATATATATATATATATATATATATATATATATATATATATATATATAATATATAGAAACGGCATTAAAAAGTACACGAGTCATAAAAAAATAATATGATTTTATTATGCGACAATAATCAAGCATCGGTAATTAGAATAAATGAATTAAAAATATTAAAATGTACGTTCGATTAATAAGAGTCCGAAGAATTTTGATAAAATGATGGAGAACTCACTCGGACGAATAGTAACGTAAATTGGGATAAAGTGAACAATAAAAGTTGAGACATAAATAATAAAAGGCAATGAAATCTGTTGAGCGATAAAGAAAATAATAAAAAGTATAAGTATTAGTAATCGGATAACCGTGAATAATAAAGGAAGCATAATTCATAAGAATAAATGTGCTAAAACATTAAAATATTCATGAACAATGTGTTATTGTATAATGTAACGGAAAAAAAAAAAAAAAAAAC